TACTAAGCTTGAATGAAAATTTCACAGTCATTGAACAAATATAAAAATATCTGCATGGATTGGTATGAAGGTTTGGGACATGGAATGGTTTTCTTAGCCTTGCAAAAAATAAAATCAAATAATAAAAAATAATAAAAGGAATAAAATATGAACTATTTTTACTGTTGCATTTCACTACTGCCAGTCCTAGAGAGGTGTCTTTTAATGTTTAATATAATAATAATAATAATAATAATAATAATAATAATAAGTTCAGGTGGGTAGCTGCGTCAGCATGCGTAGGGCTGCAAAGGAACAAGTAATAGGTTTATTCCATGCTGAAAAAAAGAAAAAAGAGAACACAACGTTTCGGCCGTGGAGCCTTCTTCAGGTGTGCCTAATAATAATTATAACACCACTTTATTAACCCTTTACAATTTCTTGCATTAGGAATTTGTCTTTTCGCAGACCCCAGCTTGCTCTCCATGAGACACACAGACAGGGAGAGAAGCTGGGGGTCAGAGCACAGGGTCAGCCCTTGTACAGCACCCCTGGAGCAGCTGGGGTGAAGGGCCTTGCTCAGGAGCCCAGCGGAGTAGGATTCCTCTACCAGCTGCAGGATTTGAACCAGCAACCTTCCAGCCACAGGCACAGCTCCTGAGCCACAGAGCCACCGCTCCGCCCCATGGGTCAAAGGTGTGCTTTCACAGTTTTCTTGCACTTTTCCAGTTTGTACAGTGTGCATATTATAGAGAGGGGTGAAGGTGGTGAGAATTCTCTGGATGACAGCTATTTCTACCGATTGGATGACATGTTTCCACAGCCGGTTTGTTTCAAATCTCTTTGTTCCACTATCCATTAGAGCTGTCGATGTCAAATGTCAAGGATAAACACAATTTTGACTCTTACAACCCCCTCGAGTGCAATATGTTTTGTGATGTGTTATAAATGTTCCACGTTGTTATGTGTTATACATGTGCAGAAGAGTGATGTGCAATGTTTTTCTTAGTTTGTGTGATAGACTAATGTGCAATGTTTTTCTTTTCTTCTTCCTTTTTTTCCTTTTTTTGGTATCTCCTTTCTTTTTTTGTTTGCATTCTATTTAAATGGCCAGGAGTGCTGTGTGTCCTGAAAAAAATTCCCCCAGGAGACAATAAAAATCTTATGTTATCTTCTCTCCCCCTCAGACCTGAAGAAGCCTCAGTAGCTGGAACAGTGTGTTTCCTCTTTCTGTTGTTCAGTGTGGAAGTAATCACTGCCTGTTCCCTTGCAGCTCATGCACACTGGTGCAGCTCCCTGCTCAAGCTTTTTAACTGTGTTCAGTGTTTAGCAAGATGGTATGGAAGTGGATTGGTGAGCATTGCTGTCTCACAGCCCTGGCCCTGGGGTGCTATCTGGGTGGAGTCTGTATGTTCTCCCGTGTCTGACTGCAGGTGACCTAACACTACCCACAAAATTTCCCACCACATCAGCTGGTAACTCGCTGTATGGCCCCAAATGAAAGTGACGTCTCGCAATAGGCTCACCACAGGTATCGCTGTGACTGTGTGCGTGAATATGACAATTAACCCTAACAATCAGAGGGTGTGATCGAGGAATTCAGATTTAACTTAATCTCCCAACTAAACAGGCACGTTCTGCCTGAACAGCCTCAGGGTAAACGAGAGTGTCTTGAATGTGGAATGGTCACCTGCCCTGTACCATCTTCCTTCACTATTAACAACCTGGGTTGCTACCTAGGTGGAGTTTGTGTGTCTTCTCGGTTTCGTCCTACCACCTAAAGCCTTGCTGGTGGGTACTGGCCCTGGTGTGAGTGTACTATTGTCTGTATCTGTCTGTGCCCTTTAATTGACTGGTGTACCCTGCCTTGCGCCCATTGCCTGCTGGGATAGACTCTGAGGGAATGAACTAAACGTTTTGACTAAAAGTTTGTATTATATCTTGTTGGTTATGTATTTCTGTTCTTATATTTTACTAACTCCATCTCAGGATGTCTTGTCTCAAAAGATAATATAGTCACACTGCATCTTTAGGCATAGCTGGCATAGTTCTCAGGAAATTGACCGAGTGACCTCTCCTGGAACAAATGGTATATTCAGTTTACAAGCAGA